GAAATGCAAAAGTAAGAGCGGACTAAAACGACACAAGACAGATAAACACAAAGATACGAGAGATGCTGAGAAGCAAAAAGAAGGAGGACAAGAGAGCTATTTAACTTTTATAGCTCATTCAAGAATTGTCGAAAAAGCTAAACACAAAATTGCTGACAACAAAATCTATCCAAAATCAATGAGAGACGAACTAAGATGCTATACCTACAACAACGGTCTGCAAGACGTAACAGCTGGATTCTGTGATATTGAAGACCTATATAAACGCTTGATAACGTCTGGAAATGCTGAAAGATTATATTCTTCCTTCTACTCGACCATAGCTCTGAATGCAGTTAAGCATTTTGAGGGATTATCAAGGAACGCTGCTACAGTACACTAACTATGCCGAAAGAACCCAGTTAAATGCAGCGCATGCGTAGTAAGTCAAAAAAATTGCGATTGAATGAAAAATAACACTCTCGGAAATACGCCTATTTCTCGAGAACCAGTCATTAGAATTTCACGAAATTGGGCATGAAAATACCTTAGGAAATAAGTAACTGGAGTATTGAAAATAACTGAATTTTAACGAAGAAAATTCTAGATATTCCAGTGAACCTTCAACAAGGGATGATTAGAGATCTCTCTGTTAAATTATTAGCAAAATGGTGTTAACTTGTGAGAATTGTTACAAGCTTGTCGCATGCAAATTACAAAGAAAATCTAATGACTAGATTTTCTACAAATAAACGAAACTGATTTTAAAGACCTGTTTATATTTATTCAGGTTGCCATGGTCACGGCACATACGTCAGCTTAACCATCAAAAAACCAAAGTTTGTGTTGTTAACTTGCTTGCTGCCATTTTTGGTGCCCACGGTATCAAGGGTTTTAAAGAAAAAGGTGAATGAAACAGGTATCAAAAACTGGGGACGAAAATGGCGCCATCACCCCAGGTGAGCAAAACTATCTTCTCTGTCTTAATTAGTATTTTGTTGGAGTCCGACTTTATCCGACCCGTACCAGTGATCCGAGTCGATTCGGTCCGAGTTTAGTACCTGCCTATTTACAGCTTCAAGTTGCTAAAACTGTGTTTATGAGGCAATTTGAAGGCATTAAGAGAAAATTGTGAATTTACGTTCGTTTTGCTTAAATGTGCAGTGTTAAGTTTTTCCAGCTTGTCGTGGCTGAATAGTCGTTTCTGAGGCAATTTGGAGGTTTGAAGCGAAAATCGTCATTTTATCTCCGATTTAGCTCAAATATGTAGTTTCAAGAATTTACAGCTCGGCTTCAAGAAGTGTAAAACTGTGTTTAAGAGGTAATTGGGGGGGATGAAGCCGGAGTCGTCATTTTATGTCAGTTTTCGCTCAAATGTGCAGTTTCAAGTATCAATAGCTTCAAGTAACGGCATTTAGAAGCAACTGGGAGACATGAAGAAAAATACTTAGTGCGCTCGTTTCCGGATCGAGCGGTCCAGGTTCAAGCCCTGACCAGGGACATTGCGTTGTGTTCTTGGGGAAGACACTTAACTCTCACAGGTATATAAATGAGCACCGGCTAAGTCAATGCTGGGGTAGACTGTCTGCGATAGACTAGCATCCCATTCATTGGGCAGTAGAAATACTCCTGGTCGTTTCATGCTACAGAAACCGTGATAAGCTCAGCCCTGGTGGGCCACTTCAGTGGCTAGTATGCAGACTTTACCTTACCTTACACCTTTACGTAGCTAAAAGTGTGTTGCTTAATTCGGAGGTATGAAACGAAAATCGTCATTTTACGTCCGTTTTCGCTCAAATGTGCACTTTCAAGTTTTTCCAGCTTCTTGTTGCCAAAACTGCCTTTCTGAGGCAATATGACGGTAGGAAGAGAAAACCGTCGTTTTACAATCATTTTGTCCGAAATGGGCAGTTTCATGTATTTGCACGCTCAAATAGCTAAAACTGCGTTTTAGAAACAATTGGGAGGTATGAGGCGAAAATCGTCAGTTTACCTCCGTTTTCGCTCAAACGTACTCTTTCAAGTCTTCGTTCAAAATGAGCAGTTTCAAATATTTACAGCTTCAAGTAGCCTAAACTGTGTGTAAGGCAATTGGGAGGCATGAACTGAAAATAGACATTTCAAGTCTTTTAATACAGCTTGTAGTAGCAAAACAGGGTTTTTGAGGCAATTTGGAGGTACAAAGCGAAAATCGTCCTATTTTGCCTCCATTTCAAAACAAATAACACAGCAGTGTAAACCAAATAAGTTTATTTTGGGATGCCTGCCGAGAACCAACCCGAGGCGTACATACCCCTGAGCATACATACACGCACACATTCGTATCTCGTGCACCATATACATTCCTAATATGAAACAATTCCTTACACGTTCAATTAACTGACATCTCAACTCCAACAAGTCGGGATTAATAGAGCCGCGCAACCGCTTACAACGATAGTACTACGGTTATCCGGAAGCCAGAAAAAACCTGCCAAAAAAAACCCCTTTGGGAAATAAATACGACAGGAAATCTGGGTAT